CGGACTCCCTCACATCTCCCTTTTCTGCGTTCCTTTTTACAAAATCTTATTCAGCAATACCTCATCTTCTTTCACATCCTACTTCAAACTATACGTTTCCAGTATTATGTCTCCAATTATATCCCATTTTAAAAGGCTCTAATCTGTATGGAAGGACAATTCATTCTTAGCTGATTTATGCAACTGTAACTGGTTTGCTGCCCCTGTCCAAGGTGCTGACCCCGTGGTTGGCTTGTTCAATAATGTAATTAAAATGGTTTCTGCTCTACTAGCTTCCAGAAGATGTGCTGGGGCACACCAGAGCATCAAAGACAAACATTTAAAGCCTGTAGTCAACTTTGTTTGCCCAAGGGATTGTGTGCATGCTGTAAGTGTCTTATTTGTTTTTTCCGAGCAAGAGATTCCCAGCACTGTTCAAGTTTCTAAGGGCAGAGCAAGATGTGATACAGATAACAAGTCAACACTGAAAATAGCAAACCCACGTCCAGTTCCACTTTCTCCTCCTCTAATGTTTAGTAAGAGTAATGAGTGCCATGTAGGATTGGAGGAGACAATCAGTTCAGTACACAGTAAAAGCTAAATCGATCAAATTTGCTTTTTCCAAAACGATACGTGAACAGGAACAAAGCTATCCTTTTACACTTGCATTTATTCTACTTTTGAAAATTGTGCATAAAAATGAAGCTGTTGGTGAATATAACATTTTAAAAGACACTGCCTTTCAAATGAAAAATGTGCATTAGTCACAACTGCATATAAAAATGAGTTTAAAAGGAGAAATTCACACTGAAATGATGATTAGCATACGAGGATTTTTTTAAAAATGCAAATGGCTGCAAAATGTGGAGAACTGAATGGATGATTGGAAAAATTAGAAATGGAGAGGACCAAAATGGACAGACCCAGATCTAGTGCCATGATATTGCAGCTTTTGGGAGTTCGCGAGCAGGGCAGGCCTCACAAACAGGGGCATTTGCAAGGATTGCTGGATGGGGCTTGTCTTGCTATGCTGCCTAGTAGTTAGAGCAAGCAAGGATTTCTTTTGGATCTCAGCAGACGGTTAGATGAAGAAGAAAATGGTTTATTGACTGACAATTATAATATATAATAATTTGTTATTTATACCCCGCCCATCTGGCTGGGTTTCCCCAGCCACTCTGGGTGGCTCCCAACAGATTAAAAACAGAATCAAACAATAAAAACTTCCCTAAACTGGGCTGCCTTCAGATATCTTCTAAAAGTCAGATAGTTGTTTATTTCCTTGACATCTGATGGGAGGGCATTCCACAGGGCGGGCGCCACTACCAAAAAGGCCTCTGCCTGGTTCCCTGTAACCTCACTTCTCGCAGTGAGGGAACCGCCAGAAGGCCCTCGGAGCTGGACCTCAGTTTCCGGGCTGAACGATGGGGGTGGAGACGCTCCTTCAGGTATACTTAGACAATAAGACAGAAGAAGCAGTCTAGCAGTTATATCTCATACTAACAAGTAGCACTTACCGTATTTTTCGTCCCATGGGATGCATCTAGTTTTTTTGGGGTGGGAAAGGAAAAAATGTTTTCCTTTATTTCTCCCCCAAAACCAGGTCGGGGAACAGCGGGATGGCGGCGCTGCGCCTCCCCGCTGTCCCCTGAGCTTGTGGGGCTGGCCGATGTCTGCCCAGCGTGAGGGGCCCTCTGCTTTAGGGCGCCCCGCGCGCCGGGCGGCAGGCTGCTATCCGCAGCGTGTGGAGCCCTGTGGGAACTCCCGCAGGGCTGCCTAGGCTGCGGATGTGTTCCCGAAGCGCCGGGCGCTCTGCTTTTAGCGCGCCCGGCGCTCTGGGAAGCATGCTGCTATCTGCAGCCTAGACAGCCTTGCGGGAACTCCCGCAGGGCTGCCTAGGCTGCGGATGTCTTCCTGAAGCCTGGAGAGCGAGAGGGGTCGGTGCGCACCGACCCCTCTTGCTCTCAAAGCTTCAGCAAAAGCCTGCATTCGCCCCATAGGATGCACCAAGATTTCCCATTCATTTTTGGAGGGGAAAAAGTGTGTCCTATAGGGCAAAAAATACAGTAAGATACAAGATCAAAAGGGTATAGGGAGATAATTGCAAAGGCCAAGTTCATGATTTCCACTGCTGTGGGGTCCCTAGGAGCAGCAGAGCCTTCGCTCAGTTGATGGGACCAACGTCCAATGTTTACTGGTAGAACTTGAACATGAAGACTCGACTCAGCTTCTGAAGTTAGGAGCTTATATAGCCCTCGCAAGGGCGTGATGCCAGGCTATGCAGGCGTTCTACATTATGTGAACCTTCCTCCCTACTTGGGAGTGAACGCACGTGCTGGCCTTATCTCTGATCAATTAGGGTTCATGACATCAGCTGTCCCTCGAGTTGAGCCAAGTACAGTTCACACAGGGCTGGATTTAGGTTTGATGAGACCCTAAGCTACTGAAGGTAATGGGGCCTTTTATATAGCAGGCAGAGTCCATTACTTAAATCATAGGAGCCTACACAACACAAAACACTGTTGTTGTATGTAGGTTTTATTTTATTTGTTTTTTATCTTATATTTTGGAAATGTACATCTGGGTGTTTTTTTTTATTTGAATTTTTTTGGAGCCCCCAAGAGAGTGGGGCCCTAAGCTATAGCTTGTTTAGCTTATACGTAAATCCAGCACTGAGTTCACATCTCGGGCATGTTAACTTGTCAAACTAGACAGGCCAAATTCTCATTAAGTAACGAAGTGATCGCCAAGCCCTTATCATATATAGTTCTAATTTCATTGACAGATATATAGCGGCATCTAGCACCAGTTCCTCATTGTAAGTTGGCTATATGATGAGGCCCTCATTATTTGGATAAATATATAAAGATTTAAAGCTATAATAAATGTTGAAACCAGGAAGCATCACCTACTGGTCACATGTGGTCTGGCAATACAAGGGTGTCTGTTGGCTCCTAAACTGCTCCGACAGCCCAGATCTGGGGTTAGGATTGCAGCCTTGATTTCTCCCTCTCATTTCCTGAAACCTCCAGATGAGATAATGCTCAAACACACTTTCTGAGCAGCAGTTGCACTTGCTTCAAAATAAGGCTCTTTTGTATCAATGTCTGTGCCACGTCACAAAGAGCACTTGGTTGCTGAGTGAATTGCCATAGTTGAACAAAGCATAAATCAAAGGAGGGGAGGGAATGACGAAAACCTCAAATCTTGCTTTTCATTCTTTGTGTGAGTTCAGAAAATATGTGTCTGTCACATTGTCGCAGCTGAAACTATCTCAGATATCCTGTAATTAAAGGCATCGCATCACGGTGACCCAGCTTACCTGAGTCATAGTTTGGGGGATCCAAAATGTTCTTATATAGATTTAATGGAAACACTCCTTGTACTTTTCCAGGGCTAGATGCTTGCTTTGAAAATAATTGTGGTGCTCATTACAGTGCATGTTCCGTCAACCACTTACAGGCATGTTAATTCCAGCTTTAATTGGTCATAAAACATTTTATTTTATAGGTGTCAAAATTTGTGAGAGGGAGAAAAAGAACACCCTTGCAGAAATTATTGTGATGGGGGAATAAAGGGCTCAGGATTAGTGATGTAGAAAAGCTGAAAAATAGCCAATATATTTCACATCTGGCAACCCATGCACCCCTTTGGTTTCAGACAGTACATGGGTAGACAATTCTAAAAAGCCTGGGACACAAGTTTTCATGGCCCTCTTGTGGCTACGGTGGCTCATTTACCAGAAGTAATGTATTTAGCATTAGCTCTACAAGTGTATACAGTGGTACCTCGTGTTAAGAACTTAATTCGTTCTGGAGGTCTATTCTTAACCTGAAACTGTTCTTAACCTGAGGTACCACTTTAGCTAATGGGGCCTCCCGCTGCCGCCGTCACACGATTTCTGTTCTCATCCTGAAGCAAAGTTCTTGACCCAAGGTACTATTTCTGGGTTAGTGGAGTCTGTAACCTGAAGCGTCTGTAACCCGAGGTACCACTGTACTCGATTTTGGCCAAACCAAGCCTCCTAGAGCAAAATGTACCTCAGGAGGCTTAGTTTGGTCAGAATCGAGTACAGTGGTACCTCGGAAGTCGAATGGAATCCGTTCTGGAAGTCCGTTCGACTTCCAAAACATTCGGAAACCAAAGCGCGGCAGCCAATCGGAAGGCGTGGAAGTCCTGTCGGACGTTCAGGTTCCAAAGAATGTTCACAAACCAGAACACTCACTTCCGGGTTTGTGGCGTTTGGGGGCCAAAACATTTGACTCGCAAGGCGTCTGGGATCCAAGGTACGACTGTATACATTTTCAGAGTTGTTTTTACGTTGGATCTGCCCAGTTTTGTAGACGCTACATTTCCCTTGCTCCCCTTGGCAGCATAGTGACAAGGAAGGGCTGCTAAGCCCTCAGGCCTCTTGGAGTACTAAAAAGAACCTAGGACTTTTAAGCCTTGACCAGGAGTGCTACAAGCCCCCCCCCCCCCCGCGTGCGCTTATGTCCTTTGCAGGGCCGTGCCGGGAGGTTTTGGCACCTGACACGTAGAGTAACATGCCATCTCTCAGGGCTGTGTGTCTGCCTGTCCCCTTCAGTCATCACAAGCAGGTGTGCCAGCACCACAGGGGCTAGCCTGGAGCATCACCAGTGTCAGGATGTTTGTGCCGTGACAAAGTGGGTTCTGGGTAGAGGGTACAGGATGGGTGCTCTCCACAATGTCTCTAGGCTGCTGCACAGTTGCAAAGGGCAAAGTCCCTTCCTTCCTCTTGGTCTTTTCACTCAAAGTCTTTGCTCGCTTTTCCTCCAGCACCCTTCCAACAGTGTGGCAACTGCAGTGAGCAATGTGTTCCTCGGAGGCCAGATCTGACCCCTTAGGACTGCTGCTAAACATCTACTTTGGAGCTAACCTGACCCAACATTTAATGCAGAGTGCTTTTATCCCTTCCTGTTTGTTCAATTTATATACCGTCCTTCATTCGACAATCACAGGGCATCTGACGACATACATTTTAAGCTGTGTGACTTTAATTGCTCGATTCTGTGTTTAAGGTGTGCTTTAATTCTGTATTTCACCTTGAGCAAACATGTTTAAGTAAATCAAGCAAGTAAATAAATACAAACGACATTTCTTATTGTCACAATCCAATATGAACACTTTCAGGGAAACAAAACATTGCTCATAACACCATTTACAGCATAATTTACAGTCCCCTCCAAAAAATCCAATTTCAGTTACCCCAATGGTTGCTAGTTCTATCTAACTTTAGCTAGATTGATGCCATCAAACGATGCCTCTTTAATATACATTTGAGCTCAGTGTGGAATAAAAACAGAGCCCTGTAATAACGCCCACTAGTATTTAATTAAAATTAGCAACATGAGTGTGAGGCACAAACCAGCTCCAGCTCTTGAACAAATGCAGTGTAATGGAGCAAGTCTAAGAACACGGCTGTGTGCATTTTATATCTGCACAGTTACGTGCATTTATAAGGCAACTGTTTCTTTGCAATCCTCAGAATCCATTTATTGGTGTCTGGCAGTTTCAAAAATAAGTTGACATTGTTCCTTTAATTGCAGTCTGTCGGAACATTTCCAATCACCACCACTGCTTTGACATTGAAATAATTGCACTTGAAGCATGACAAGCGAGGAGGAGGAAAGATGCAACTAATAACTACAGGAGGAAGAGGTTCGTTGTTATGGATGTAGCCAAGACAGCCTTAAAAGTGGCAAGTGTGTGTCTGTGTGGTAGCCTTGCCACATCCACTCAGTATTTGCCAGAGAAATCGCAGAGCTCTCGCAAGCTGCAGCAGCACATGATCTCCTTGAAGGTTTTCCTCAGCTCTTGACTCCGGAATGCGTAGATAAGAGGGTCGATAATGGAGTTGCACATGATAAGGATGAGGTACAGGTTAAAGTGGGACATGAAGCAGATGCAGTAAGGGTTGTGAGGGCAGGAGATGTAGAAGAGCAAGTGAAGGAAGAGCGGAGCCCAGCACACAACAAACACACCAATCAAGATGGTGAGGGTGATGGCCCCTTTCATATTGGCGCCCTGGCGTATTGGGCCGCTGCCAGGGAGAATGGCAATCTTCTTAATGTGCAGCCGGGCCAGCAGGAACATGTGGACATAGAGAGAAGCCATGAGGACCAGCATGGTGAAGAACATGGTGATGAGGCAAATGATGACGGCGCTGCTGTCGGAGTAAATGATGAACAGAATGCCCGAGATGGTGCAAGCAGCCCAAATGCAGGTGATGATGATGAACACACGCTTCACAGTCATGATGTTGTGATACTGGAGAGCGTAGAAGATGGTGAAATACCTGTCCACAGCAATGGAGAGCAGGCTGCAGATGGAGGCCAGCAAAGAGCTGCAGATGACCGAGTCAATGATGTTGTCGATGCTGACGGTGAAGCCTTGCGCGTCCGCGTCGGTGTTGTTCAGCAGGGTGATGACGATGGTCTCCGACCCGTTGGAGACGCTCACCAGCATGTCGGCCACCGCCAAGCTGCAGATGAAGAAATACATCGGCGAATGCAAGTTCTTGTTCTTGGCGATGGCCACAATCACCAGCACGTTCTCCAGCAAGCTGACAAAGCCAAGCATGACGAACACTTCGGGCGAGACGAAAAGTTGCTCGTAGCAGCCTTCCGAAGAGTAAGCCTTCCCCAGGGATCGATTCGTGCCTCCTCCGCCACGTAGTCCGTAGCTGCGATTCCACAAGCCGAGAGGTTCGTGAACTCCATAGTGCTGTGTGAAGTTCATCTCACAAAGCGCCGGTCCCAAATCAGGGGGTGACTTGCCAGTTTGCTGCTTGGTAATGAAATCCACCTGTCAGTGGTTTCCCCTCTTTGAATAGTTCTTTGGGGTTTTTCACTGGCTGGGGAGCTGCAGAACTGGTCGAATGCCGTTTCCAAAGAGTGGGATGCTGTACAGCAGCAGGAAACCAGACTCTGATAGACAAGGTAAAGCTGCAGTGTTTTGCAATTATTGCTGGCTTATCCAACTCTGCAATCGCCTGTTGGACCCGCTGGGAATGATGTAGCTGAATGCTGCTTCCCTCTCAAGGAAGCCGGGAGCATCAAGAATTACTTTTCTGTTGTTCTCTGTAAAAGCACGAGGCTAGAGTGCTCTAGTCCCTGCTACTGAGAGAGAGAGATACATCATTGAAAACCATAACTACTACTCAGCCTTCTGTGAAATGCCTGCCTGCCTGCTGCTTCTGCTTCTTATACTGTATTGGGGGGGAAAGGTAGTCAGAGACATGCCCCACCTCCGATTTACTGATCAGCCAATAGAGAGAAAGGGATGTGTGCAGGCCGGACATGCTGAATACATTTCAGGATTTTACACAGCTTGGCAAAACAGCTTCTGATGTCGCGCTGCTCCCCAAAGCTACGGGAGATGCTAGAAAAGCACAGCAAATTTCATTTGCTGCCTTAGATTTTTGTTGAGATTTTATAACAGTATCAGCATCATTCTCCATGGGATGTGGAAATTAAATTCTAAGAATATACATGATGTTACAAGTTAGGGCTTTGCATTATGATTATGATTATTCAATGATGCTGCTGTTCTGTTTGGATTTACTTTGTTTTGATTAGGAATGCCAGGATCAGACAAAGCTTTTAGTGCAAGAAGTAATGACTCCGGAATGCATCAGCCTTTGATTCTCTCCCCCCCCCCAATGTTCCCAGGGTTAGTTCAATTGTGTTGCGTTCAAGTACCTGTATTCAGAATTCTCTTTTCAAATATGCTATATAGCTCTGTTCACTCGCTGACAGTCCGCCATGGTTCTCTGAAGAGTGGGAATGACAAACCGTTTAAGTAGGAGCTGTAGATACACCCTTAGTGCTTTTCTTCTTCTTTTGCCTTGAGACATAATACCATCTCACAGGGGAAGGAACCAGAATCATGATGTTTGAAATACGTGCTCTGCATTATGGTCAAGTGAAATGTAGAACATAGGTAAAGGAGGTAAAGGGGACCCCTGACCATTAGGTCCAGTCGTGACCGACTCTGGGCTTGCGGCGCTCATCTCGCTTTATTGGCCAAGAGAGCTTCCGGGTCATGTGCAGCATGACTAAGCCGCTTCTGGTGAACCAGAGCAGTGCACGGAAATGCCATTTACCTTCCCGCCGGAGTGGTACCTATTTATCTACTTGCACTTTGATGTGCTTTCGAACTGCTAAGTTGGCAGGAGCTGGGACCGAGCAACGGGAGCTCACCCCATCGCAGGGATTCGAACCGCCGACCTTCTGATCGGCAAGTCCTAGGCTCTGTGGTTTAACCCACAGCGCCGCCTGCGTCCCTAAAAAATGTAGAACATAGTTGTATTCTATATCACAGAGGCTGGGGAGCTGTGCGGTTCCCCCAGTTGTTATGGGACTCCCATCAGCCCGAGCTAGCATGGACAAAGGTTAAGGATGATGGGAAATGTTTCAACAGGAAGTGATCTGACCATGACCGGGCCTGATGTCAATATCCCCCACATTGAGATCACCTTCTTCCTGCCCAGTTGAGAAAACGAGGTCCAGAGTGTGGCCTGTCACATACATTGGGTCAATGACATATTGGGACAGCCCCATGGTTGTCATGGCAGCCCTAAAGTCCCGAGCCACCCCAGAGCCAGTCGCCTCGGCATGGATGTTGAAGTCCCCCAGAACCCACAGTCTGGGAGTCCTCAACACCGCCGCTGAGACCAGCTCTGTCAGCTTAGGCAGGGAGACCGCCGGGCAGCGAGGCAGGATGTAAACCAGCAGAATCTCCCATTTGTCCAGTGCTAGGAACAGACGCTGTGGATTCCTGTCGCACACACCTGGACAGAGAGCCTGAGGAGAGAAGAGAGGGGAATCTCTTTAGACCACAGCAACACCTTCAAGTCTGGCCTGATGCTGCACCGTGTACCCAAGTGGGCACAGCTGGGTTAGACCAACTCCACCCTGTTCACCCACTCAGTGATACAGACCAGGTTGGCCTCCTCATCCACAGTCAGATCATGGATGATGGAGGTCTTACTCAGTCAACTAGCATTCAGCAACAGCAGCCACAGACCCGAGGGCTGGCTGATAGGGCTGTGGGAAATTTTAGGGATGTGGGGGAGGGTATATTGTCTAAGATATCCTATCCCAACTTCTCTTTACAAGTTCAACAAAATCAGCAGAGTTAACATTCCCCTTTTTTAAACACACGCACAGCAGGTAGCTTGCTCAGACTCATTAGAGTCTCTGTAAATACTTCCTGGTATTTTACCCATTTAATTGCTCCTAAAATAAGACGCTACACAGTCTTCCGTAAAGTATAAAACGTTTACTCACAAGTAATCATCTGTTCACACAAAGGTTCCTAGAAGGCAGACTTAAAAGGTTAGAACATAGTTTAAATGTGGTGACTATCTCCTTATGGGAGAAAGCCCCCCTTTTCTTCTCTTGGCCTGGAGCCAAGGGTGCATCTTAGTACTGCTGTTGTTAATATGGCAGCGATGGAGACAAGAGAGACAAGATGGCCGCCAGCCTGTGGTTCTGGATCATTACTTCAGGAGAGGCCACGCCCATCTCAAGTTACACATAGGAAGTTTCGTCTCAGTCCTGGAAAGCAGGAAGTTCCGGCTGGAGGACTGAGACAACCTTCAAGTCTACTCTAGCAATGTTGTGTTTGACTGCACCTGATTCTTACATCCCACAAGGGCAACCTCAATTCCCCAGGTAGGAGGAGGGGCTGGCCCACAACACAGTCACTAACTGCCCTTCTGAAGAAACCAGAGGCCTTTCTCCTGGGCAAGGTTGGCCAATTGGTGCCAAAGAAGGATAGAACTTTCTTTATGTATGCTACAACAGCATACATAAAGTATTGCAAAGTATTGGAAGACACAAGATCTACCCATCCTGGAAGAATGGCAGATGAAGGTGATGGACTATATGGAACTGGCAGAAATGACTGGCAGAATCCGAGACCAGGGAGAAGAGTCGGTGGAAGAAGATTGGAAGAAATTTAAAGACTATTTACAGAAATACTGCAAAATTAATGAATGTTAGAATGATGTCGGAATGAAGTTAAGTGGTTTTTAGCAGCAATGTTATAAAGGAATATGTAAAAATGGATTGTTAACAGGTGATAATTTAAAGTTATAATATATTAAGATAAAGGATTAAGATAAAAACAAAGAGGGAAAGGATCTGCTGAATTAACTATTTGAACTGGAATACAAAAAAGGGAGGTTTGAGGAGGTCAGGGAAACAAGCAAACGAAAGACAAGATATGGAAAGATTGATTTGTTTTTAACTGTTTTTATTTTTCTGTACTTTGTATTTTCTTTTTTCTTCTTTTCTTTTTCCTATTTTTGTAACATTTTGAGACTTTTATAAATATCTTTAAAAAACAACAACACAGTCACTAACTGCCCTTTACCCAGCCTGCCCCACTTCCCCACACCTCCTCTGCCCTGAACCACTATGATTGGCCCCTCCTGCTCTCCCCAGTTCCTCTGCTCCCAGACACATCTCCCCTCCCTCAATAAAAAACAACAGCAAAACAAAAACAACAGCAAACCTCATGTATTAAAAACAGTTAACTCCCTAAATAATACCCCATCCGTGCGGGATGCACGTTCGCAACCCGCAGCGTCCGCAACCTACAGCGGCATGTCTGAGCACACTTGAGTTGCGATTCGGCGCATCTGTGCATGCGCAAAGTGCGATTTAGCACTTCTGTGCATGCGTGACTGCCAAAACCTGGAAGTAACCCGTTCCGGTACTTCCGGGTTTTGGCAGTCCACAACCCAAAAAAACCGCAACCTGAAGCATCTGTAACCCGAGGTATGACTGTACATTTGTTGTTTCAGACCTGGTGTGCTGGGAGAATTAATCTTCCAGTGTTCAGTTCTTTGCAATGTTTATCTGGATGGTACAAGGACACATTCCATGCCTTCTGCTGTTCACCAACTAGCGTACGGGCTGCGACCATAAATAACCCACAGAGTATATGTCCAGTCTTCGCCATTAAAATACCACTCTGGAGCTCTTCCTCGGCACACAGCTGAAATCAAGATCTTTTCTCAAGTTTGGCCTCTTGCCATATCTATTCGGCAACCATTCATTTTTCTTGCTTATGAATGGTGGAGTCATACAATTTCCAGAGGGCTACAGATTTCCCATCACTGCTCTAGACCTCAAGGAGCAGCTTTGGGCAAAATTGGGATTTTGTTTTTAGCATAGAACATGGGTAGGCAAACTAAGGTCCAGGGGCTGGATCCGGCCCAATTGCCTTCTAAATCTGGCCCGCGGATGGTCCGGGAATCAGAGTGTTTTTACATGAGTAGAATGTGTCCTTTTATTTAAAACGCATCTCTGGGTTATTTGTGGGGCATAGGAATTCGTTCATTCCCCCCCCCCAAATATAGTCTGGCCCCCCACAAGGTCTGAGGGACAGTGGACCGGCCCCCTGCTGAAAAAGTTTGCTCACCCCTGGCATAGAATATACAAACCTTTCTCATTCACCTTTGCCTGATAATAGAGCTCAAAACCATTGGCAACGTACGCAAGCATGCCTTTATTTATTGCCTTTTGGCCAAGGCACCTGCTTCTTGCAGACATACATTATTAAAACTGGTAAATAGCTGAACGTAGAAAAAAGAGAGGGACAAGTGTAAAATCATGTTCACATTTGCAGAGAATATCCGTAAAGATGTACCATGCCTGCTTGATTTACTTTTGCGGAAGGCATGTTTTTGTTCCCTGGAATCCAGATTTTTGGTTGTTGTTTTTAAATTCATCTGTGTTCAAAGCTGTTTTATTTTTCACCTTGACTGTTAATTCCAGCCTGTCTATCACCTAACAAACGAAGCAGATGTGAAAAAGAAAAGAAAAAAAGGATACACCGCATCAAATGTATGCAATTATTTCAGCCGCTCTTCACAAGAACGAGCAAAATAAACTGAATGTGTGGCCTTTTTTCTATTTTGTTCTTTTGCATTACATAACTTTCTATAATCTTTGCTTATAAAGAATGAGAGAATGGCAGTAAAATGTCAAGGTCACCAAATGTCACCACTTCGTCCTGTCAAATCTGCTCACAGAATCAACAAATTGTACAATTGATTGTTGTCTGTATATAATAGCTGGTATTCCATAGAATCACAAAGTTGGATGGGACCCAGAGGGTCATCAAGGCCAATCCCCTGCAATGCAATGCCCGCAGTCATCTCTGGATGGGCTCAAAGTGCCAATCTTCTGGTTAACTGCCGGCCGCACTGGCCCATTGCACCACAGAGGCCCAAGCTGTTTCGACCTTTTTTCATGGCCTAAAATGGCTTGTCTACAGCAGAGAGCCAGTGTGGTGTACTGGTTAAGAGCAGTAGACTCGTTATCTGGGGAACTGGGTTCGCATCTCCGCTCCTCCACATGCAGCTGCTGGGTGACCTTGGGCTAGTCACACTTCTCTGAAGTCTCTCAGCCCCACTCACCTCACAGAGTGTTTGTTGTGGGGGAGGAAGGGAATGAAGAATATTAACTGCTTTGTGACTCCAG